CAAATGCTGCCTAAGCACTTCTTTCTGAGGCTTCTGATGATTTCACAGTCCCAGTAAGTCATCTAGGAGGGGCCCATGCCAGGCAGCAGCCTGCTTTTGTTCTTTGCTTTGTACTCAGAAGGGAGGGACATTGCTGAGGTACAACACTCTGGCTATTTACGTGATTCACTCCTTCTTTCATTGAATCATTTTCTCGTTTCTATGATAATACCTCTGGGATGATTTCAGTGGCTGTTTGAGGAAGCACAAAGTTGTTGTGTTTTCTGCTATTGGGGGTGAAGGTGAAGATGAAGATGGTCCAGGAAAGGTGGGAAAATGGCTTGGACAGGATGGGGAGAACTTGGGAATTCTGGTTATTCACCTGATGGCTCCAAAGTCCTGAACACAGGAGCTGGGAGGTCAGCTCAAAGCCTGACTACAGACAGCTCTAACTCCATAACCTTCCTGCTGAACGTGCTGCTTATTTCCCCAAATCCAGGCACTGCTCTAGACTGGGTCAAATCATTCATCCCAGGCTGTGTTTGTGTTATAATTGCTTAGAAAAACCCAAGTGTGTCAGCGCTTTTCAATGTCCCAGGTCAACTCTTCCCAGTTCTCCTTTCTGTTTCAAAATCAATCCAGTAATGGCTGGCAGGATTTGAGACAACACCTTGGAGGGGTGATATCACACACCTGTCAGCTTTGCCTGGAAGTCCTGCAGGTATAACTGTGTTCTCTTCATGAGCTTGCAAGAAATTCACATTTCAGCCTGGTTAATGTTTGGACAGGGCTTGGAGTGAGCTGATCTTTAAGGTCCCTTCCACCCCAAACCATCCTGGGACTCTGTGATCCCAGAGCTGAACTCGAGTTGTGTTCCTAAACCAGTTTTTCTGCAGTACAACCCAGTTCTCCTGATGCATCAGTATTTCTCCCATTGATACTCTGGAAATCTTGGGAAAAGCATTCCCCCAGATTTTGTGGAAGTGGAGAAACACAAAAAGGGTGTGCATGTATTGGCACGGGCTGCTCATGGAGCAGTCAGGAACATCCAAGCACACACTCCAAGAAGGAAAGAAGACAGACCAGTTGTTCTGGTTATTAGACATGGTTAAGGGGCTAAAAAAAAAAAAAAGAAAAGAAGAAAAGAAAAAAAAAATAAAAAGAAACACCAAACCAACACACACACACACGTTTCTGCCAAGCCAGTTATAAGAAGATAATCATGTGCTAGCCTAAGCCTCTGGCAGGAGTAAAACACTGTTAGCTGTCTTCTAGCTGGCTAAATATTAATCACCCTGTTTAGAACCAATCATGTCACTAACTGGAGAGAAACTTGGTTAAAGGTTGTAGTACCAAGAGGGTCTGGTGTTTTATCTCTAGCTGAAGGATTCCCTGAGTTCTGCAGAAAATATGTTGAGCAAGGCAAAATCCAGAGCAATATTCCTGAATTAATAAATTTTTGGAAGGGTTTTAGGAGTCTCTGCAAGATGAGGATGTGGAGAGACACTCCAGCAATTCAAACAAGATTCTCTTCTGCTGTTGTAAAGGAGCAGTGCCAGAGCACAGTGTTTCACCTTGGGTCGTGAAGTGCAGTGAATTGCAAACATTTTCATCTGAACCAACAAGCAACATCTTATTCACAAACTAATTCTGCTTCTGAGCTCTGCCACAGCTCCAGAAACGATGCTGCATGTTCACCACAGAGCATCAGCAAGAAGGAACAGAAAAAAAAACCAGAAAACACAAGAACTTAAAGTTGGACAGTACTGGAGGAAGGTGTGGGTTATTCAACACCTCTGAAATCACCACTCAGCCTAAAATAAATGGAAAATAAAAAGAGCAGGCAGCAAGCCTTAGAAGCAACAGGATGAAGTCATGGATGAGTGATCATTTCCCTGCTCATGCCTGAGCACTAAGTGGCCAAACCTGCATGACATATTCCGAGTCAGGAGTGTGACAGGATTGGGTTGGGAAGACTCATGCGGTTCAAAGGTCTCCCTTGGAGATCCAGATGTTCCTGAAACTCCCACAGTCCCTCAGGCCCTTAAAACCAGGATGCAGCAGCGATCTCCATGAACCTCCTGTGGCTGGACCTTCAGCAAGTCCTGCTCAGATGGAGGAGCTGGAGGTGACGAGACAGAGGAGCAACATCTCTGACATCAGCAGCGCTGCTGGGATTCCATCATTGTTTTGTGACTTTGGCCACATTCTTCTACACCCTTGACTTTGACATTCATCCAGTTCCCATGCTCTGGAAGCTGGTGGAAGGAAGGTTCTCTCCTTTTCTTGTCCTGTCACCAAAACTCCCCCGACAGCCTTGCTCTGCACGGCTCTGTGATGTTGGAAACAGCCTGGCAGCCAAAAACGCAGAAGCCATAAGACCAAACAAACAAAGACAGCCTGCCAAGGTACCACTTATCCAGCAGCTGCAGGCTAGGAAAGCCTGCTCCCTTTCTGTTAACCTTGTAACAAAAAAAAAAAAAAAAAAAAAAATAATAGAAAGGGGAAAAAAAATCACAAAAGGCTTTTTCTGAAGTGCAGTGTCAACAAAAAAGGGAAAGTTGACAGAATGCTGCCAACTCTTCACTAATTACATTCTGTGAGGAGAGAAGAAGGTTTCTGATGTTAACAGGGCATTCCAAGCTGGTTCTGAGGTCTGAAATTTTGTATTCCTGCAGTGATCAGCTCCAAGGAGGAACGGGAATTTCTCCCTGAGGACAGCAGAAGGATCCAGCTCCAGCTACCCTGGAACAATGCAGCGTCCTGCTACTGAATATAGAAGGCCCAAATAACTAAGCACGAGACAAAATAAACCTGTGAGGGCAATCAGGGATTATTACTCCCATTATTAGCCCAATCTCTCTCTCTCTTTAATTAATTATCTCCCTCCTGCCTTGAAAGCTGCACACTAAGAGCAGGCTTGTCAAAAAGGCAAAGCAAAGCCCAGTGCTGGTGACACAATGACTGTAACACGTGTCTCGATCACCTTCCTGAATTTCACCTAGAGCAGAAAGGCACAGAGTCAAGTCTAACACCACCCTGAGCTCACCCTCATTTCCAGAACAACAAAATAACACCTTCCAGTGGGCTGCCACACTGCTCCCCATGCTGGGCTTTATGGGCAGCACTAAATCACTGGTCAGGAAATGATATTTTGTGTGTAATGATGGCTCTTTATATTTTAATTTAAGATTGAACAATTAGCAAGCTGAAAGTTCTGTAAATGCCAACAAAAAAGCATCTTCTGGGTGTGCCAGATTTGGAGGCTGTAATTCAGATCTCCCTGGCGAATTTTATCCTTCACTCTTCCAGCTCACAGGTCCTCCATAACAAAAGGGCAGAACGCAGATAAATTTTGCCAAAAGAAGAGAGAACGAGAATTATACTCTCTTAAATCCTTGCAATTGTTCAAGTCCAGGTTGGAACAGGCTGGTTTTAGTGGAAGGTGTCCCTGCTGACAGCAGGGGCTGGAACAGGATGGTCTTTAAGGTCCCTTCCAGCCCAAACCATTCCCTGATTTGGTGAAATATTCGGAACGCTGACATTGCCAAGCTCAGTTTAACCCATGTGCTTTTCTAGACACATCAAACTGCCAGATAAACGCACTTGTGATTGCTTCTGAGGGACAGAAATGGACTGAAGTGTATGTAGGTTAAACCAAGGTGTGTATTCCCTAGGGATATCTCAGAAGATAAAAAGCAAGCCCTGACTACTATTTAAAGGCAGCCCAGCAGACGGTTAAAGTTACACCCAGGTGTGTCTTCCCTCAGGTGATCCCAAGGGAGAGATGCTGGGCCACTTTTCCTATTTAATGGTGGCAGAATAGCTGGTTAGATTACGTCTTAAGTCATTTTGTGAGCTTATCATCCAAATGTTAGGATACAAAAATTGCAATCCTACAAAGCTGTTTATGATAACAAATACTGCTGCCATCACTGCATAATAAAATATAAACAATGTATTAAAAATAAGCAATTATCTCACTACTAAATTAAGCAGGAATATTTAATCAAAGGGATTAATTTATGCTTTGGCTGGGCAAAAAGTGAAGTTCATAGAGAGAACTCCTGGCTGACAAATTTCCAGATCGACAAGAGAGTTCTTGCCAATTATAAATGGCAGGAGGGGTTTATAATGAGGTCAGCAGTGCTTTTCCATGTCAAGGAATCGAAGAATATTTAATGTTAAAATGGATCAAACATTCTGAATTGCACACAGGGTGTCGTGCACAGCTTTGACCTTCACTTACCAGCTCCCTTTGGAAAGGAGAAAGCACCAGTCCAGGGAAAAGGATCAAGCTGTGGAAAACAAGGAGCCCTGGTGGAAGAGACAGGAGCCATTTCCACCTGACATTGTCACTTCAGACAGAAGACACAGTCAGACAGCGCTGAATTGTTTCCACTGACTTGCCTTTTGAATATTGTCTTTGCAACTTTGAGGGCTGCAATTTTAAATTTCCCCCCCCTAAAATGAAATACCAGATTAGGGAACAGAATTTAACAGTTTAGCATAGCTGCCAGTGCAGCAAATCAACAGCTCAGTCATTCCATGAAAGCCCAGACCAAGGAGAGATAAAAAGTTATCACATTTAGTCTAGTCTGGATCTGACAAAACCAAGGTTTTTCTGATTCAAACATCTTGATCTCTCCTGCTGTTTGACTTCATCTCCTGAAGAAAAAAAAAAACTGCTGCAAACAAAACTCTCTAAGGAAAAAGAAATCACTGGCTTTAAATTCTACAGAACTGTTTTGCCACTCAAAAGGAAGCTCTGGTGGGTGGGCAGTGCTCCTCATATCCACAAAATCCTCATATCCTTGGCTGTTGACCCACCTTGGTAAGAAACTGGAAAATCTGCAGTGAATTCTGACACCCTGCTTTCCTCTAGGTATTTCCTCCTGATTCTTATCCCAGGGAAGAAGAGATAATGCTCTCCAGTCAGTGGTTCACTTTCATTCAGGCTCTTATCTCTGCACTCCAATCGACCTGTGACTGCAGCTGGAGGGAACACACCCACCAGGGTGATGGTAAGACTTCAAGGACTGAAGGACCAGCAGCTGCACCCCGGGAGCCTGGGGGGACACCCAGGCCAGGGGCTGCCTTTGGTTCTGGGCTCTCATGACACAAAAACCAGCTCAGATTTGTCTGTCCCAGCGATCAAGGTGAGAACTGGAGGCTAAAGGTGGTGCAGAATTTTGGGAATAATGAAGTAAAGATGGGGAATGTCCTGCCAGCCACCTCAGAACCTTCCCTGCCAGCTTTAGACACGCAGCTCTGAGGAACATCAAACATGAAAGTCCTTGGAAAAGACAAGTCATTACCCAGCACTATCTTTAGGATCTTCCAGACAGGAAAGAACATATCCACCAACACTCCACATAACTAGAAGATCCAGCAGATAAACTGAAAAAGCCTTCATTTCTAGTATCAGAAGTCTCTGATAGATTTAATAAAATCCAACTGGCAAACTCATGATAGGAAATAATTCATCACAGGTGAAAACATGGATTTTCCTCCACCTGTTTTTTTGTGGCGTGTGGGTGCCCTGGCAGAGCTTTTCCATCACAAATCACTGCAAAATATTCTCCAGCAGGTATCACAAAAAAACACTTCATGAATTGCATGAACTTAACATGAATTTAAAGACATCCTCCAGAGCAGAGAGGGGAATTTTTATCAAAGTTTCAATACCTTGTTCAGTATCTGACCATAATCGTGGGAGATAAACATGGGTGTACCTATACAGTGACCTGGGGGCCATAGAGATGTTTCTACTGTTTTGTGGAATGAGGATAATTATATTTAGCACTCATTCAGGGCTTTTCATCTTCAAAGCACTTTACAAACATTAATTAATCCCCACAACACCCTATGAGGTAGGTGAGTATTATTACAGTAGGTGTGATCAGGGGATTGGAGAGTGTGCACACAGCCAGGTAAGGGCAGCAGGAATACACCTTCCTGCAACTGCACATTTCAATTCCTGTTCCTCTCTACAGACCTGCACACAAAAAGACCCTTCCACATAAATACGTGTACGAAATCAGGCCTAAACTAAACTGTTCTTCTAATTTAGTCCTGGTTTTATGACTGTGGAAGGCACTCAGGTTTTGGGAAGGAATCAGATCTTGAGTGCACTGGTTTTGTGGTGTTCCTCTGATGCTTTAGCAGCGTGAGATGTTTTGACATTCCAACGTGGAGCCACGGCTCCTTCCCATGCTGAGAGTTCAGGCTGAACAAATGCAAGAAAGGCACCTATTTCTGGGAGCTGGAGGCTTTGGGATCCTCTGGCAAACTCCATGCCAGGAAAGAGTGTTTTTAATAACCACAGGTGGATAATAGGTTTGCAAAACACGGTAACAGATGGGTATTTTAAGTCCAAAGGAAAACAGAGAGGTGGAGAGGGAGCACTCTCTTTCCAGACAGTTAGAGCTCAATACCTGCCCAACTTCTCTGAAGAATTACCAAGAGAACAAGGAAAAAAAAAAAAATAAAAAAAATGCAGCTTAGTCATATTTGTATTCTTATTAAATGCAGGACTGCCTGAGGCGAACAAGAGCTGATATCATAATTATTGGCTTGCCCAGCCAGCTGCCTTCTCTCACCTGATGTAAGATCAGATCTCTCCAGCCTTTGGAGCCTCTGTACCGCTGAGCCTCCACTCTCTCTGCAGGGCTGTTTGAATGACCTAATCCTGTCCTGGAGCAGCACCACGCCGTTGTGCTTCAGTAAAAAGGTAAGAGGAAACCTCTGACAACTCCATGCAGCTTTTTAGAACTCAGCCGTGAAAGCCAAACAGAAGGGGGAGCAGAGCTCTCCTGCCTTGGCTCTATTTAATGTGAAGTCCCTGGGGCTGACTTTGAAGAACTCCAGGCTGAGGGAAGGGGAAGGTCAGCACCTCCATCCCGTTCCTCGGCAGCTCCTGGAGGTGTTTATCAGCCACCAGCGTGGAGCAGCAGGAGCAGGAGCCAAGGAAACACCAGGTAAGTTCATGGATCCATTGGTACTGGGAGAAGGGAAGATTGGAGGTGACTTTCCAAAGGAAAAAAGTAGCTTTTCTTGTCTTGGGTGCAGCTTAATCCAATCCTTCTCCATAATTATAAAGAAAGCTGGAAGTGTTTACCATTGCCTGAAAGAAAAAAACAAACGGGGGAACTGAACGACAAACCAAGAAAAGGATTTCTGAAAAAAATGTGGGAAGCCTCATGTCTCACCAATTCTTAAAAGATTTGTATCAAACTTTTCCAGTGGTGAATCAAAACTTTGGGAAGTTCTGTGTTGTGAAACCAAGCTTATTCTTACTGCTGTTTTAAATCTGGTGCTTCTGCCTCGTGTGTTTTGTAGCAGAGGATGAAAAGTTTGTTTAGGTTTATTCCCATGTGGAAAGGTGACTGAAGTGACATCCAGGGAGAAGCCAGGAGGTGTTGAGGTCAGGAATGGCTGAATTTGAGCACTGCAAGTGGAAACTGAATTCTTATTTCTTTAGATCACTTTCTTTTCACTGTTTAGTTTCAGACTGTTAGATTTCCAGCAAGAAAGGGATTGTTTGTGTTACAAACGTAATAATTATCTAAATCTATAAATAACAACCATCTGTCATTCAACTCTTGACCCTCCTGCCTTCCTGGACAGCAGATTAAATCTTGTGGAATTAGGCTTTATAAATGTTTCAGTTTGGTTTATCAGGATCATATGTTTCTAATTTGAATACTGTACAAGATATGTTGAACTGGGTGAGGTGTAGGCTGAAAATGTATTTATTTTGTTAATAACTGGTTATGGGCATAAAGGAAAAAAAAATTGGATATATAAAGTATATTCTTGGAGGAGCAAAGGACTGTGAAATTTTCTGTCAGCCATGTATGATATATGCAGCCAAGAAAATACACAATTAAAGCAGTTTGTTTATCCTGGTGAGAGGAGATGGGCACTGGCAGAAGAAGTGTTAATGTAAATGAAATAATCTGAGCTTCAAATGTAAAAGCAGAGTGTGAGAAAGTCCTGGCTTGTAAAAGAGCCCAGATTCTGGTGTGGTACTGCTGAGCTGCTGGGTGTCACTGGAGCCACGTGCCGGAGACAGGAGTGGGTAAATGGAAATTCCTGTGAATGCCAGGGTGGAAGGAGCAGCACAGGAACCTGCCAGGAACACATGGAACACTTGCTTTTACTGACCTGAAAGAGGAAAGTGGAGAGAGAGGGAAGATTCACCTACATGGAGTAAAACCCTTCAGATCCATCCCTGCTAACAACAGGCTTCCCCTTCTTAGGACAATAGTTTGCAGCTCGGGTACAGCAGATAACAAGAAAAATACATTTAAAAAAAACCAAAAATCAGAAAATTTCCTTTCAATTCTCTGTCCTTTGCTGTAAAACAATTAAAATTAAAATTAAATTAAAGAAATTAAAATTAAATTAAAGAAATTAAAAGAAAATGTGATTTTTTTTAGGATTTCTGGAAGCTAAACACAACAACAATAGCCACAACAACAATATTCTAGTATTTCTGGCCACAAAGTTCCAGATATTTCACACAAGAAGTGCTGTCATGCAGAACTACTTTCAGTCATGAAATCACTCCTATAACCTGATTTCTTGTGATGGTAAATTACCAAGGACAGGGAGGCAGAGATAAGGCCTCCAAAAAAATCTGAAACAGAGATTTTCAAGCCCCTGCAAAAAATATTGATAATTGATTCATGTTAGAACCAAACTGATCCTTTGGTTACAGCCTAAAGTAACCACAGATAGGTTGGGAGGCAGAAGTCCTGCATTAGTCTATGCAAGACATTTTAAATAGCATAAAATTTCAAACAAACCCAAACAAAATGAAAATAATTAAAACCCACTGCATGTATTTACCCTTTAAAAAGCAGGGACTCAAAGCACTGATGTGTCTGATGATGGATTTTTACAGATACTGCTCTGTCCTGCCTCCAAACCAAACAATTACACATGCAAAGCGCTCCAGCCTGGCTCCTGCTGAAGCTTTGGAGCTGGCTCCTGCTGCCTGTGCCCCTTGGAAAGTGAGGAAAAATGGCTTTGGATGTGGCACAGGAGTGACAGCTGCCTGTGCCCCTTGGAAAGTGAGGAAAAGTGGCTTTGGATGTGGCACAGGAGTGACAGCAGCTGGGGGGCTCAGTGTCCCTGAGCCACAGGAAATGTGGATGGTTCCCAGCAAAGAGGATTTGCTGGTGGTGGCCTTGCCCTTTCTTCTTCCTCAGACAGCCCCAGCTCTGAGATTTGGGTCAAACACACCTCAAAAATCATTAGCTCCAAAGACAAAGAGATTAATTATGGAGATCATGCAGATTAGGAGAGAGCTACAAATCACATCCTCCTCCTCTCCTGCCTCTGTGAGCACGGCCAGGGCAGCGTCTTCCCAAGGAATTCTTGGTGTTGGCAGTGTTTGTGAGCAGGGTGGGAGCTGCCAGAGCTCCACAAGGCTCAAAGAGTAAAGTGATTTCAGTAAATCTGCTCCAGTGGAAGGTTTAAGCCTCAAGGTTCTTCCCAAGCCAAAGAATTCCATGGATTTGTGGGTCAGGATCAGAGCTGTGAGGTGCTGCTCTCCCTCCTGAGTCGCTCTGGGATCAATGCCCTGATGTGCTGCCAACCACAGGATGCTGCTAATATTGGAAACTAAAAGCAAAGTCCTATTGAACAAAGACACTTTGCCACTTCTAATAAGATTAGGGCAATAATTAACTCTTTTGTCACGTTTCAGACATAAATCCAAGTCGTGCCCTCATTAGCATATCCTCTGCTACTTCCCCGACTGTCTCCTCACCCCCTAAACAAACATCCTGGGTTTTCTGTTGTTTTCTTTAAAATAAATTAATTCCTGTACATAACATTGCCCATTTGGGGGGTTTTTCACCCATCTTGTGCACCCAAGTCTCCTGGTCACATATGAGATACCAGCAGTGGTTGTTTCCATCATGCCAAGAGAGCTGAGACGTGGCTGCGACCCAGAGCTCTGTGTCTGATGGATTTAAAAAAAACAAACAAACCCCCTTCTCCAGGGGATTATAGGCCTCTATTATTCCTTAAAAAAGCAATTAAAAGAGCCCACACAGAACCATAAAATCACAGGATGGCTTGGACTAGAGGCAACCTTAAAGCTCTTCTTGTTCCACAGGCAAGGACACCTTCCACTAGACCAGGTTGCTCCAAACAACTGTGATAGGATACATTATTCTTTATTCTATTCAGGATGCCAGGGCTTACAGCTATCTGGTTTGGTTCCTCTTTTTGCATTCTCTGAAAAAAATAATCATACATGAGGTCATTATATGTCTTTTAGCGAAATTCCCCCCGTTTTCAAACTACAGCTGCATTCTCTGGGCCCTGCTGAACCTTTGCTGAGTACTGGAGGGAGCTGCTAAGCATGTGGTTAGCAAAGCGATTCCTGTGCAGCCTTTACAAATCTCAACAGTGCCTTTTGAGGCTCAGTAAATATATGTAAAATCATTTTAAGATGTTTGGATGAGCCAGGGCTACTGCAATCCAGAGCATTATTATCTTTCTGTTGGTGAAGTGCTCAGAACCGAATGAAGCATCGAGGGTGAGGTTCCATCAGAGTCATGTAATGAAGCTAAACATGCTGTCATTTTAACCCAATTTGTTTCCCTCTGTACTGCTGCCTCACCAGTTTGTTAGAGCCTCTCAAAGGAGCTCATCCAGTGTCAGCTTACAACTTCCACACCTATCCAGCACTTTGCTCCTGGAATGGGTAGGTATCCCTGCCCTGCAAACTCTTAACTGCTGGTTCAACAGACCTGCCAGGACAGGTCTCTGCAACATTCCCCTCTGTGGGCAAATGGTAGGATGCCAGAAATATTAGACAGGAACCTGTTCTCCCAGGAATGCAAGTAATTCATAGAAGGAAATAATTTACTATTTTCCCAGCTGGAATAATTAAGCAGCGAGGCACTGTCCTCCCGAGCTGCTGCAAAGAAGAGCAAGTAAGAGAGGGGGGAAAAAAAGAGCTGGAATGTCCTGGAGTATAAATTATCTTCCAGACCAAGCAACCTTTCCTCATAGGTCAGAATTCCCAGGGCTCTGACCATTCTCCCTCCTCTCCTGTGGACTTCAGGCTGGAGTGGAACCTTTTGAAATGCACTGACCAAAATCCCAAACCTTCAGCTGACACTTGACCAAGAGGATTTCCCTTGCCAGGTCTCACACACCCCGTTTCTGCCAGCACCTCACCCCTGCCCGTTCCATTATGCCACAATCTGGCTGATTTAGGCTCAGTTTAAATCCCCAAGATCTTTCCATGCGGAATTGCTGCCTTCTCCTCACTCACTGTCTGCAGGGTTCCTTATTCCTGCCTGGATGCTGAGTTTAGTTCTCACTGAACTGCATTTTGCTGTCTTCAGACTGTTTTTCCTGGTTCCTTTTGCATATTAATCCTGCCCTCCACCTAGACAGGCAAAGCCTCCCGTCTCCAGTCGGCTCCAAGTTTGATTAGAGCTCCTCTCCAGCCTATCACTCAAGTCATTTGTGAAAATACCGAGTTGTGGTAGGCTCTTGGAGAAATCCTCTCCAAATGCCCTTTCATTCTGACAGCAGCCAGTCTCTAACTCCTCCTAAAGCTCTGCTCCACCCTGCTTTACCTCCCCTCTGCTAGAGTTTTATCTCAAATACATTTTCTTAGCTTGCTTGTGAGAACGTCACAGGCAAAAGCAGAGCAGCCTCACTAAGGCCCAGCTGTATAATCTGTATTATTCTATCCTT